CACTTTCCACCCTTTTCGCAGCTATCACTCACCCTGGCGCCCGCCCTCTTAAACGTTCTCGTCCGACCTGAGGCATCCATCCGTCTGCCCACCCTTGCGCCCGCCCTCTCAACTTTCTCGTCTGGCCTAAGGCATCCACTTGCCGTAGCAATCACGTAACTAACTTGGGCCCACCCCCCCGGCTCTCTTGCAGGCCTGATGCATCCAATTCTCGCTCGCTTGCCTAATGGTACAACAGTAGCGTATAGAAAACTCGACACCCCCCCACCCACCGGTTTCCGTATGGCCGCTGGCCTCAAGCTTTGCCGTTACCCCCCAACTAGACCCTGCTGTCTCTTCCTTTCGCCCGCCTTTATCGTCTGGCTCAGGCAACCATAAATAAATGTCATAAACACCCACACACATGAAAAAACGAACCCTTTGCAACAGATACATCTCTCTCTCTCGTGGTCGTGCAAGTGTTGCTGCCTTGTTGCGATCAAACCAACTCCGGTTTGCAGCATGAACGAGAACAGACAAGCCGCCGGGTGAAGGGTGGCGGGGGGGGCGCTAAACATCGGTACACATCGCCTTCCCTCGTGTTCGGCTGGAGTTGAAGTGGACAACAACCAAGGGCACGCCGTCTACCGATCCCTGCTATCACGAACTTTCCCCATAAAATCAAAACAGCAAGAGGAACCAATGCAACAGAACAACCACTGAAATGTTTTTGTGACAAAAAAAGAAAACTCATCGTGGCCGCCCCTTTTCCTTCTCATCTGGCTCTGACCTGACCTCGCGGTAAAAAAAGAAAAACAAAAAAACGATCACGACGACTACAGCGGCCTTACAGCACACGTCCAAACGGGAGGGAAGAATTGCTTTCGCAAAAAAAAAAACAGCCGTACACCACACCCTGTTCTCAGGAAAACGTCAAGCAGCCCGAACCGCTTCCAAATGAAGATGAAGAAATCGCGACAAATGGAAACAACAGAAAGGCTTCGTCTAACGTATGAGGTAGTGTGCCCCTTTACTCTCTGGTGTGCTTGTCGGGCACAAGCCTGGGACGATGAAAAAAGCACAAACCAGCGCAAGCACACGCACCAAGTACAACGAACACGTCGACAGATGAATGTTGAAAAAAAACGTGTGAGATATATGCCCACTGCCCACGCCACCGTGTTTTTCGTGAAGCTGCAAGGCTGGTTCCGCTAAGCCACTGGTCTCTCCTTCTATGCAAATACCCCTTGTCTGTTTTGTCCTTTGTACGAGCGAGGACACAGATAGATGATGGGAGACGACAAGCAAGCTCGACGCATCCTGATCGGCAAGCGCATCAAACGCTAACAGAGAGGACAGTCGGAATACACACACGCACCCTTCACTCCCTCACACCACGCCATAGGTCCGGCAGCGCACGAGCCTCGGCAACTAACTGTGAACGAACAAGCTTACACCAACCACCCGAGTGAAGACGAGAATGAAATTCCGCGGCGATTAGCCAAACAGATGTCCCGCCGCCGCCACCAAGCCCCCCCCCCGCGGCAAAGTCAAACAGCAAGCGACAACACGTTGTCGCAATGGAAGTACCACATGCTCTTTCTTCGGACGCGACAACGACAACGGCGTACAAGCAGATACCGTACGTGACACAAGATACCACACCCCCAGGACTGATTTTCAAAGCGCGACCACTCCACGACCAAGATGATGCCAAAATCAAAATGATTTGTTCTCGGTAAAGATCTCGGCTAGACAGCTCCAACGCCTCCCGCCATTTTCCGGCACCACCACCGTTGTCCCTGCCGAGACAATCGAGCTTTGAATAGTGGTCCGGGGTGTGTGATATCTTACGCAACGGACGGCACTGCTGGCACAAACACCCCACGATAACAACGACGAAACTAATCCACGACCAGCGTATCTATACAGCGACAAGAAAATGTTGCAATCCAACGCCACCGGCGGGCACATGCAAACCTGATATATTCTTGGAAAACAATTAGCTCCGCTCATCGTCGGCGTCGTCGTTACGAACACCGGCTCATAGCAAGGGAACGAGGGTTGCTTCCATTCCTCCGAAACCTGCTGCTTCTTCACTCAACTCAATCCCTCCAAAATGGGACGGCAAGGGTGACCGTACTTTCCCCCGTACGGACGTCCCCGATACGCGCAAAAAAACGAGCACTCCCCCCCCCCGCGCTTGGTGATGTGAGAGCGTGGTCCGGTGAGAACCCGGCGTGCTCCGTCCCGGCTTTGTAGGGATACGAGGTCAATGGTCTAACGACTACGGCATGCACGACTATGAGTACACCCCCCCCCCCCCTGCATTTTCGTCGAAGAAGGAACGGCATGCTCCGAATGTCCGCGGACACACGGCGCCACGGAGGATCCGCTGCAACGCCTTACCCCAGGGAGCGGAATGGCCACCCCTTCCCCGCATTTCCAAGAGCGGCATGCATGTCTCCATCATGCGGGCAGCACCACTCCAGAGCGCTGCGGCCGTGCCGCCGCCGAAGCAATCACTCTTGCTCGCCGACCACCACACAGTTGATGCCAAGCTTCGCAGCAGCAAATAGCGTTCTCTTTTCTCTCGCGGGCGGGCGGGCGGGGCTCCGTTCCTTTCTTCCTTCCCGCCGAACAACAACAACAACAACTACGTTCCGCTCGATCGCCGGGTCACGATCCCATGGCGTTGCGGCCGTAACGGAGGAAGCACTTCTCGGCTACCTCGTCCAGTTTCTCCACCGCGTACTCCAGGTCTTCCCTGGAGTGCCCAGCCGAGATGCAGATGCGCGTGCGGCCAGCGAGGAGAGGCGTCGCTGGGAACCCGACCACCACCACCTGGGGGGAGATTAGGTACCGGTACGTAGAGAGGTGTACTCAAGCTTTGCATGCCTTACGTGCGTCCTCGAGAGGAAGGAGGGAGCATTGTTTCCACAGAGCCCATCGCCGATGATGGCCAATCGTGGAGGTGGGAGGGGGGGGTGTACTCATAGTCTTGCCTGCCGTAGTCGTTAGACCATTGACCTCGCATCCCTACAAAACCGGGACGGAGCACGCCGGGTTCTCACCGGACCAGGCTCTCGCATCACCAAGCGCGAAGCACCGTGAGGTATTCGGCGAGTCACATGAGGGGTGCGCTGCATCCTGCTAAGGGTGGTCGGCATCTTGACCTTACTTCCTTGCGTACGGGTGACAGCTGCGTATGACTTAATTTATTTTCTGGTGCTTTCACTTCCAGAGACAGTTACAAGCACTGTGTAACTGGGGGGGGCATCTAGACGATGTTTTTCGAGAAGGCGGGCGTGGTCCTCTGAAGGGGAATATAGAAGAGGGGATGGGGTGGTAGGGAAGTGTTGTAGGCTTAATCACGGCCAAATGGGGAAAGCGGTTCTGGGAGGGAATCGAAGACGTCGCCAAAGTCAAGAGGAGGGACGGGGGGGGACGGGGGGGGGCTCAAAAGAATACGTGAAAAGGGTCTTCGACAACATCAGACCACACACAAACAAACACACAGGGTCCCAAGATCATGCCCTTTTAGTGGGGTTTGCCGTTTTAGTCGCACTGGGGCTGATGACGTCTTTGCATCGGTCAGCCGGTTGAGCGCGATCGGGTCTTATCAATAAAGCACGCACACACGCACACTCCTTCGCGACAGGGGGGGGGGACGCAGACTATCCTACGAGCAGTATAGCTTAGTGCGTCGATTCTGCGTACCCCCTGTCCACCGTCGCTTCCTCCAGCACTCACCGCCATCCCTCTGTCGTAGCAGTCCTTGGAGAAGGCCGACAGCTTAGCGGGCACATAGATGAGAGCGGGGATGACCGGCGAGTTGTAATCCCCCAGCACGTGCATTCCCATGTCCTCCAGCTTCCTGGAAGGGGAGGGAGGGAGGGAGAGATGGGTCAGAGAGAGCTTCAAGAGAGAGCGAAGAGTCAGAGGGAGAGACGGGCAGGCCAAGGGCAGAGAAAGGAAACGGGAGCAACAGCTTACCAAACACTCCCACAACACCAGCCTTTGTTGCTTGCACTATCATGGATAGCACGATGAGGAGAGCGACGTGCCTCTCATATTGCTACCTCATACAATCGCTACATTAGCAAATCGAAATAAACTTGAACGTTAAACTGAAGCTCGATTTCTTCACGACGAAGAGGATGCACAAATGAAACGACACAAGCGCTCTTGACGAGACGGCTTAACGCCGCAAAGGCGTGTCGGCGCTTCCACTCTCGTGTGCCGTGGAGCAAAACGAGCTTTCGAAAAATTGGTCCACGGGGTGCTATATCGTGCGCCACGCACTGGTACGCACGCACCTCCGGACGAAGTTGCTGTTCTCCCGGAGAGCCCGGAGCTTGGTTGCTCCGATGTCGGTTCCGTCCTCTCCCATGATGATGCGGAGGGCGGTGACCACCTGCGAAAAACGACGGCGCCAGCAGTCAGCACATCGGCATGTGTACACCGAAGGCACGAAAATATGGTGCCGCCGTGTGGGATGATGCGGGAGGACAGCCGGCCGCCCCGCTGGGGCAGTGGCGACAGTAAGACCATCCAAGACAGCAGTCACGACAACGACAACGATAGCCACAATAACGAGTACATGAAGAGCTATTAATACTACTACCTTACGACAACACCCACACCAACACCACCAACGACGACAAAGTTCATTTGTTACCTGTGCGGCCACGACCGGCGACAGCGCGTTGTGGTACACGATGCCGGCACACCGAGTCCGTAGGTGGTTGATCAGCTCCTTCGATCCTGCAAAGCGGGCACCGGGTGGGGGGCGGCGGGCGGTTAGCACTACCCATCCAGGCGGATATGTGGGAGACTTGAAAAAATATATACATCTAACTTGGCACAGAAAAAAACACGAACAACTTGGACCCTTGCCAAGCAACAGCAGTAAATGAAAGGGACCGACCCTGGGGGGGCTACTAGGTGGCACTCTGACGTAACCCCCCGGACCTTCGTGACGTGAGGTATGCGTACGACATGCCGCCGGTCTACGCGACGCACACACCGAAGGTGACATGAGAGATATCACACCCCCTGGATCGAATTTCGAAGCGCGACTACTCCACAGCACGGAGAGGGGCGGTGACGAAAATGACGGCGTTGGGAACCGTCTCGTCGAGAGCGTCCGTATCGGTTGATTCGTACATCCTCTACGTCATGGAGTAACCGACCTTTGAAAATCGTTCCATGGGGGGGGGGGGGGGGGGGGGGGGGTTTTTTTTTTTTTTCCCCCCCCGGGAAAAAAACCCCCCCCCCCCGGGAAAAAAATTTGGTTTTCCGGGTGTTGTAAAAAACCGGGGGGGCCCCCCCCCAATTTACCCCCCCCTCCCCCCAAAGGAATGGGGAAAATCCCCC